GCTCCTGAGAACACCTGTAATTTCTGATTACATGCCAAAATAGTTAGAAAGCTTTTTTTTTTTTTTTTTTTTTTTTTTTTTTTTTTTTTTTTTTTAAGTGTGTGAGATAGCAGCATGTATGGCTTCTTACTAGTGAAGAGCCAGATCTACTACAACATGTTCGTGAAGAAAAAGAAGGTTTGATTTGTTGGTTACAGCTTCTTCATTTGTGAGAACATCTAACAAGTTTTTTGGCTAAAAGTTTCTATGAAGTAATATTTTCTGAAAATAGTAGCTCTTGATTCTTGCAGTGAGGAGCATTTTACATCCAAATACCCCAACATGCTTTACAAAGGTAGGTCTCTGTTTGAAAAGAGAGGGAAGCCCTTGCTAGGTGACACATGCCAGCTGGGATTTGAAGCCAGGGGCAGAGCTGGGTTTATTATTAACCTTAGTGGTTTCTTATGCACCCACACACCAATCAGAACTCCAATGTGCTAGTTTTTTAGCATACATATTTTACCGCTGCCTAGGCACTCCTCTGGAGAGCTAAGAGAAAGGAGAGATCACCTGCTGCACTGACACATTGCCTAGAAAGCAGGACCCAAGCCATCTGAAACACACTTTAGAAAGACTTGCCTTCACTTTGCCAGCACTCAAGAGCCTTTGTCACAAACGTGCTGCATGGCAGAGGGTTGTACATACAGAGAGGTGGCTCAGGAGGGCAGGACCTGCCTGGTGCCCTCTGAGCCACAGCCCGGAGGTGAGATGTGCCTGAGTCCAGAGCAACCTTTTGGAAAATCATTTTTTTACATTGGGAGTCAGAACAGCAGCTGGATGGCCCTACATCAGAGCTGTCCTTTCACATGCATCCTGCCTGCAGGCTGGGGCTGAGTGCTCCTTGCCACTAACAGCCATGTTGCTGTCTCTTATACCTCACCTTGCCAGAGGGAAATTGAGGAGATGGTAGTGTGGGAAAGATGTAAGTATCAGGAGATTTTACCTTAGTTGGGTAGGTGATTTGCCCCACTGTGTCTGCTCTCACACAGAAACCTTCACAACAACACAGAACAATATGCTAAGAGGATAAAGTGTGTGTGCTTTTAATACCACAAACCAGACAGAGGTAAGTCATGTTCTTCAGATGTTTCCAGATAGAAGGGGCAGCCTGCAGTAAAAGCTCACTGTTTAAATGGGAAAACTGGGCACTGCCTGACAGTGATTCTCCTGATGGGATCAGACTCTGCACCACTACTTTGCTTTGCTCCCATATGGAACAGATGCTGTTATTATTGCTGCTCAGAGGCAGTGCTGAGATTAGCAATTTCCGTGTGCAGATGCTTCTTTGGCATTACATAACCTGTGTACTTAACACACACTAAATTTTCACTGCAAAATGGCTGCTGTGGGGGTATTCACATTTTTTAAAAGCTGTTTCCTTCCCAAGACATGCAGTTAGACTGTAGCCTAAGTTAGAGCCGATTATGAAAGCCATACTAAAAAATGAAGTGAAAGTACAGGCCTGTGGAATCTCATAATTTAAAAAATTTAAGAAGTAAAATCCCAGGGCTCATTGTTAGTTTTCCAAGCTAAATGTCATGGAATAGTTATAGCCTGTCTTGTGTTCATCTTTGATCACAAGCATGGCAGTAGCAATGTAAGGTTGGGATGGATGCATGTGGCACTGTCATGATGCTGAAAAGACACATACAACAGATCATAGAAAGTTCTTTGTAAGGCATCTACAATAAGCTGAAGCAACATCACTGAGATACAGTATTCAGTCTTACTCATTGGATTAGGGAGAGAAAAGATTAAATCACACTTGAGAGATCTGTCTAGCAGCCTCAAAAACCTTCATTTTCATCCTGAAAATGGGTGACATTTTAATGGGCTGATTGCCCAGATTCTCAAATCTGTTAATTTGCATGTCAATCAAGCATCAAATATTATGGAGAAAGTATAAGAAACTAGAATTATGAGAGAATGCCTTGCATTCCCCTTGATTAAATGTATGTTGGGAGGATTGTTTCTTAGAAATCTACTATTACAAAGGCAAATGAGATTTAAAAATGCTGTGGTATTCCCAATTATACCAATAGCTGTTTGTGATTGCATGTGGTCTTTTATACAGCTGCTTAGAATAGCAGCCTGGATGTTGCCTGTTCTCTCAATAAGCAACACAGCCCATTACAGCATCATAACAGTCATTAGTACAGCCTTGAGTTTGGGTTGCTTTCTCCTCTCCATGTCTCTGATGCATCTCAGATAAAGTAAGTGGAATTTCACCAACATCTTCTGATCATCTCTCTCCAGTAAACAGTTTCCAGCTTGCTCTTAAAAATGATGGAGCCAAAACAAGCACCATGGGCCATCAATTCTCTAACTGCCATGCACTTCAATTGGAGAAGGCTGAGGAGCCTGCACTGTGCAATCAGCTGCTCCAGGGCCACGACAAGGCTTGTGGTAGATAAGCGTGTGCATAAATACTTATTGGATTAGGGTTTATAGCTAGAGAAAATCTTCCCAACTGAACTTCCCAACAAAACTTCCCATCAGGACCTAACTCTTAAACAGCTTTAGTGGGAGGAGGATGCAGTCAAGTTCCTACAGCAAGTTTTTTCATCTAATGGAGCTAGCTCAGTGCAGGAACTGGCATGTCCTAAGCAATTGTTTATAGCTCCTGCACAGCAAATCTGCTTTGGGAGCTGATTTGTGATGGAAATATGTTTGAATGGAGATGGTGAATTTGATTCACTTTTGAAAAAGAAGTGAATAATGCCACAGCAGAACAATCTGGGTCACAATGTACTTTGGATTGTAAGATTTATTACAGGAAAAAGGCCCAAACCATGTAATTCAGATCCAACTTCTAAGCATCGAAACTAGGGTTTAGTTCATCCAGCTGTGAAGGTATCTGTGTAGCTTGGAGCTGACCCTTTACTCGAATATTCCCACCTCCCTTGAGTGTTCAAATCCAGGGATCCAGACTCCTCTCCAATTTGCAGCAGAAAGTCCAAAACCACACACAAAAAACCTGTGTAGATCAGGAGGTAGCTAGGGCAGAAAGAGTCACAAGCAGAGATAAGTAGCTGTGGGTCTGTCCTGGGTCTCTGGAAATGTGCAAGCAGGGGTGGGGTAGAGGGATGGATGTTTCAAGGTGATACTGATCTCCCTGGGAGATTGGAAAGTAACTGAGGTAATACAGCTTTGTGCAACAGAAAGAGGGACAAAGGTGCAGGCCAGAGCTGGCAGATCTTTAAGGATGCTTTCCATAGACCACAAGAGATCTCAGTCCCCAGGTGTAAGAAATCGAGCAAGGAAGGCAGGAGACCAGCATGGCTCTGCTGCCTGTGTAGTTCCATCTTGCCTTTTAGTTTGACCAGCAGGTCTCAACTCAGCCATTCTGGTCTCCTGCCTTACATGACAAGGGAAGACCTACGGATGTCATGTATCTGGACTTTTGCAAGGCCTTTGACATAGTCCCCCACAACATCCCCCACAAATTCAGAGATACAGATTTGATGGGTGGACTGTTCAGTGGATAAGGAATTGGCTGCATCCAGAGGGTAGTGGTCAATGGCTCAATGTCCAGATGGAAAATAGTCACAAGTGGTGTGGCTCAGGGATCTGTACTGGGACCAGTGTTGTTTAATATCTTCATTAATTATATTGACAGTGGCATTGAGAGCACCCTCAGCAAGTTTGCTGATGACACCAAGCTAGGTGGTGAGGTCGATATGCCAGAGGGATGGGATGCCATCCAGAGAGACCTGGACAAGCTGGAGAAGTGGGCCCAGGTGAACCTCATGAGGTTCAACAAGGCCAAGTGCAGGGTCCTGCACCTGAGCTGGAGCAACCAGAGATATCAATGCAGTCTGGGAGAAGACATGCTAGAGAACAGCCCTGTGAAAAAGACCTGGGGGTACTGGTGGATCAAAAGCTGGACATGAGCCACCAATGTGCAATTGCAGCCCAGAAGGCCAACTCTGTCCTGGGCTGCATAATGCCTGCTGTCTGTTTGCATGACTGCAACTCCAGGGAGAACTTGGCTCCCAACCTTTACAAAGTCATCAAGGCAAGTGAACATGGCATTGTGCTTATGATGCAAGTATACCACCAAAAAAAGTTTCTAAAGCTTCTCCTCTTAAGGAGAGTTGATTCACCCCTCTTCTTTACAGCCCCTTACCTTATATTCATTCTGAAATAATTTGTCTTTGGAAACAGAGACAGTTCTCACATGAATGCATACACAAAATAATACAACACCCATTTCTTTAGAAGAATATATTATTTAGCAGATCAGTTTAAAAGTAAAAAAAAAATTATGTACATCTTTGAAGGTTTTTCTTTTTGTTACTCTTTACATCCACAAGGATAAAAATAGGCTTGCACAGTGTTTTCAGCCTTGTGCTCCCTTCTTTACTTCTTCTGAAAAATCCCAGGTTGTCTAGCTGTGCCAGGCCACAAAGTGAGCCTGCAAACTCACAAAGTTTTCTTCTGATTTCTTCTAGTGTAGAAAACAAACAACAAAATTTGCATCCACTGTGCTGGGCTTCTGAATGTACTGTGAACACTATAAAATTCAGAGGATAATACAGAGAAATGTGTCTTTAGGGCCTACTAGGCAGATAAAAATATATGCCAGGACCCCTGTCAGAATATAAGCATCTGTTAAGCTATGCTGTAATTAGCATACTGCTGTACACATACATAGAGCATCTAGACTAAAACGACTTTTGCTTTTGGATGTGGATTATTTTCCAGAAAAGGCTCCTTAGCTAAACTCCGCTTTGTCTCTACAGGCTGTGGTCGGTGTGGTCACCAAACAGGCAAACCCGCTGAGGACCTGAGCAGTGCTGCAGCCTGTGCAGTGTCCTCGGGGGAAGTCCAGCCAGGGAGGCTGCCTTGGGCGTGAGGGGAGCCCTTGGTGCCCGGCGGCGGCAGTGCCTGTGCGAGCAGGGTGCAGGCTGTAGGGCAAGGAGCTTAGGGCTGAAGTTTTGCTCAAAGACTTTCTCATCTCACTTTTCAGTGCTGCCGGTGGTCAAGCCTTCACTTTTCTTTTTCTGCAGCTGAAATGAAGAGCAAAGCGAGATTAATGCCCCTGCCCCACACAGAGCTGCTTTCTACCACTGCTGTAAGCCGAGCGCTCATCTCTCCGCACAAGGCGTGTGTGACACGTCTCAGGAAATGACAGGCAGCAGCTCGGTATGTCACAGGCACCTTTTCATCCTAACAGCTCTGGATGTAGGTCCTGAGTAAACAGCACTTCGGCTTTCTCATCATCTGTCTCTCAGGTTATTAACCAGATCCTCTGGTTTCAGGATATTTCTCAATTCAGGCATCTCCCATTTTCCTAAGACCTCTTTGCCAAGACACCGTAATTAAAGCTCCATCAGTTTGTATAAAATTTCTCTTCTGACAGCTTCTGTAAATCAGAAGTAAATTCTCTGCTCAACTTTAAAGATGGATAGGACTCAGAAAGTCTGGCAGTTGCATTTGAGTTCTTCTCTCCTTTGAGAAATGCTCCACTCTAAACTGAAGAATGCCTACAAGCCTTTCTCCTTTATAACTTAGTAACCTCAAAGCATGTGATCTTTGATTAACCAGCCTTAATATTTGTGCTGCTGAGGGGATTTTCCTCCAAAGTACTTGGGAGGAGGTGGGAGCCACACGGGAGAGCTACTATTCCTCTCATCCCGCCAGGGGTGATCGAGTGAATGAACCTTCATTTCCCACATATCAAGCAATATCAGCACAACTAGTGCTCCAGGGCACTTCCTGAGTTATTTCAAAGACGGAGTGACTGATAGTATCCTGTCTACATGACAAATGTGCCCATGTGAGAAAACCCCTGCCCTGTGATGCCATTTGGGCAGGGGAAAGAAGCCCCGGACGAGGTGTGCGAGGAAGGAGTGCAGGCGCGGTGCCAGAGGCTGCAGGGCGCTGCGGGAGCTGGGCCAGCACACCAGCTGCTGCACCCTGGGCGTGGGCACCTGCTCCCAGGGGCTCTCCTGGCTCTCTGCCCTGCCAGGTCATGCAGACGTGGCTGGAGAAAGTAAACGTGGTTACATGTGCATCCTACCTCCCTGAAGCCTGTCAAAGTGAGACCGCCAGTAAAGGGAGGTCCTCGCTCAGCCTGGGCCATGAAATGGCTGTGCTGGTTGTGTGCTTAATGTTACTGCATCCTCTGTGTGTGAGAATAACTCCTCATAAAAAATTCGGGCATATCCTTGAGGATAGACATGTCAGTTGAAGTTTCTTCCCAGAAAAGAATCTCAAACATTGGTGGTGCAGTGCCTTGAACTGCCCAACCTCAGGAAGTTTTGCTGCCATCTAGCCCCACCTTACTCCTTCCTCGGGGAATATAGCTAGCTACTCCTGGGAGAAGTTTTTGCTGACATTCTCTCCTCAGGTGGTTATCTCTGGTTTTTGTCTCCAGGTCCCTCTCTTGCAAGAAGCTTCCTTCCCATGGCCGTGCTTGTGTGGTGCCTGGTGGGCACTGCAAAGGCATGTTCTTGCACACACTTACTGCTCATGCTGCACTCCTTTCTCCAGCCAGGTGTAATGAATGTGTTTCTCATAATAATGAATAATAATGATTATGCCATAAGCATTCCTACTGTTTTGGAATGAAACTGCTATAAAATGACAATGTTTGACTTACTCAATCATAATATTTGCTTTATCAATACGATATTTAGAGCTTACTTCTTTCATAGCATCGTCTATCTGTTTTAATTCCTCATAGCGGTCCCTAGATTCCCAAAGGGGCTGGAGCATCACCTCCTCCACTTCTGGAAATAGCTAGGTGGAAAAAACAGGAGAGAATATCAACATTTGTACTTGGCAGTGTTAGGTTAAAGGTTGGACTTGATGATCTTAAAGGTCTTTTCCAACCCAAACTATTCTGCTATTCTATTATTTCCTTTGGTATTTGTTAACCTGTACATGCTAGAAACGGGCTGAAAAGCAGAATGTGGGCTGCCTTGGGTGACTTACCTTTGTTACTGTTTCAAACATGGGGATGAGAACGAACTTCAGGAAGCCAATCTGTGCAGTTGGCTTGGTCACTTTATCACGGTCCATGAATGGTGCCACTGGAAGCCCCTCAGATTTTTCTCGGTCACTCTGGAACAAATCCAGCATTAACAAATATTAATCTCAGCTAGAAGCCTGTAAGGAAGAGCAATGTACCAAATAGATCACTAGCTAAAGAGTATTAGCCTTCAGATACAGATCTCAGTGGTGTCTGAAGATGGCACAGAATAGCAATATTTCTCTTAGGCCCATATATATCCTGCTGTGTTGACAGCAAGCATCTGAATAAAGAAACGCTGTTCTGTTACATCTGCACGATACTGGCATGAAAGTGTTCACCTCCAGGCTTGCAGGACAATGAGGCCACCTGGTTCCCTTTGCAAAACCATGGGACTTGTGGGGTAAACTATCTCTGAGCATTCAGAAAGGTGGTGATGTATTTTTTGGCTTTGGAAGAGAAGGAATAGGTCTTTGATTTCCTCATCATTCTCCAGAGAGTGATTGTTTTCAGGCATTCAACCAGAAATTACATATCCTTCTTTTAATGATTCAAACTAGTTCTGGCTAGCTGCCTCAATGGAGAACAGCTCCATTGACTGCAATAAGTTTCCAAGGGTACATACTTGACCAACTCACTGTTTCTGTCTGGGTTCACACGCAAGGAGATCACAGGCTGTGTCCACAAAAAAAGATATCCTGTAGGACACTTTAGTGCTTTTGCTGGATGGCCAAACCAGTAAGACACACAGACTCTGTAATTTTGGGTAAAAAGCTGCAGATGCAGTGAGCAAGGAGTGTTCTGATGTGTCTGCCTTTAGTTAGAAGCCGTTCTTAGCATGCACCCTGTCAAGGTATTGACACAACACACCAGAAAGCTCTGGCATCTCCTCCTCAGAGCACTGCAGCTCTGTGTCTCTTATCTCACCTACTGCAGCACGTACACACTGCTCAGGAACCCCTATGCCAGAGTCAGCTGAGGACTGCTTTTCCAGGGGTTCTTTTTTAAGCAACCACAAACTGTGTCCAGCTGGGAATCCAGTGAGGAGCAATGGTCAGGGGAGCTTAGAGTCTTACTTTGCACACCTCAGCAAGTTTTCTGCTTTCCCTTTAGGCAAGTGCTCACACACACTGAAAATTATCTAAACTAGTTCCTGTGTGATATTCAATATAATATTCTTGACAATTTCTTCTTGCCACTGTTCTTGCACTTTTGGCTCAAAAATAATTTATCAGTTGTCAAACAAACTTGCAAAGCAGCCACTTTGAGAACAAGCTCCAGTCTGCTAGCATTAGGATTTCTAGGTTGCTATTGTATTTCCTCCACAGATTAAAGTAAATTGCATTTACTTGCTTTCTGAACAGTTTTTCTTGCTGACATCCTTCTCTCTTTCTATAGAAGAAGCCTTCCCATCCTGGAGCTAGACTGTCAGACAGTAGAACACCTGTAGCTGAGGTGGGATTCAGGAAAAGCAGCAATTTGTGCAACTTCATCTCTCCCTCATTCTTACCTGCATAAAATATTCCTCTAGTAAGCAGTCTACCCAGGGCTCTGCTACTTCCATTGGGCGGACTTCATTGGAGATATCACAGCATTTTATCAGTACCATCTTCAGCTGAAAGAAGATAATACTTTAATACTGCAGTCTTATTGCCAACCCCTTTTTTCCCCATCCAGAACCTGTGTCTTTATGATGCAACAGAAGGTAATGTTTTCAAAGAGAAAGAACAATTTTAGGATTAAATCAGAGATCTTGAATGATCTGGATTCTTTTCTGCTCTCTCAGTTATGCCATGTAAATCACTTATCCCCTCTCTGCCTTGATTTCCCTGTCTATAGCACTGGGATTTGTCACAGTGGAATGTGAGTTTATGTGCTGCATGAAAAGACTCAGTCACAAATGACCAGGAAGGTGTTTGTGGAGCATTCAGAGGCAGCTGGGGAGAAGCTTCCCTGGACACCATAACGACTCAATTAGAAAGTGCAGAAAACAGGAGTTTTACTTTTTTTGATACTTTTTGCCCCACAGTAACGAACAATAAGAATTTGTATCCTGACAGAGTATATATTTTTTTTTTCTTGATGAGACTCCAGGGTTTCTAAAGCTGGAATAATCTGTTTTATATAGACCACTTCCAAATTTCAGTTATTTTTGGTGAGGCAGAGGATGTAGGAAGGATTAATTTTTTAAAATGTGTACCAAATTGTGTTTTTTAAACAAACAAATGTTGATCTATAAGCTTTCACACTATGCACAAAAAAATAATATTCTACAAAAAACTCCTTACACAGGTCATGTGTTCTTCATTTGAGTAATCAAAATTTTCCATTTTTTCCTTGAAAGAGTCCAGTATTTCTGCATGTCTCGCCATGTCTGTAGCCAGGATTAACGTAATTATCCCCTAGCAAAGAAAACATGTTCACATATTAACTTGACATTCTTTATGAAGTCTACTATTACAGAATAAAGTAGGGTCTTTCTTACACACAAAAAGCCTCAGATGCACTACATTGTTACCACTGAAAAGGGAAGTTTCTGACTTGAAACTGCCAAGCAAGCTGTAAGAGGGTTATAAAGAGTTCATGGTATAAGAAGATCATAGTTGGATCAATCTGTAACACTGGTGTGATATCCCAGAGGCTTTTCCTTTCTGACTGACTAATTGTGGAAAAACAAATTGTACAACAGGATGTTAAAAGACACTTTCTGTTTGGCAAGATACATTTTTGGCTCCTTGGAAAGCACTATAGGTTTTGCTGCCGACTTTTAGTGGCCCCAGGAAGAGACAAAGATCAGTAGATGTGGATGTCCTCTACTCTTATCTTCCTTGGATTAAGGGCTTTGAAAAAGCCACATGCAGCTAATGTGGTAGGAGCTCTGTATCCTCCTGCTAATCTGTATCCCAGATTGTGATGGGAAAACGTGGTTAATTTAAATTTGTGAGTTTTAATACAGACCTATTTGTTGTGGCCCCATGGCTGCTTCCCATGCTTTGACAGAATCAGTAACTCCAACCTGAACAGTATCTGAGCCCTTAGATTTGTTTGCTTTTTAGTTTGTTGTGTAAAGAAGGGGTAAGGCAGAAACCAAGACCAAATTTTGGACCTTAGTGCTCTGGTGGGAATTGTAGCATTGTTCACTGTCTCAGAGATAACTGTGAGGACTCACGGTCCACCAAAGCTTCTTCCAACAGTACAAGTGCTCTGCTGTTGTAAATCTTCTCACATTTTGAAGCCCCTCTTAAAATTAATACAATATTCTCTAAAAGCATAAACTTCTGCAGTGAGAGCTTATTCCTTTCTGAGCCAGAACTAATTGGCTTCTACAATAATACAAATATCTACCCCCAAAATGTCGCAGGCTTTAATAGTCAGGATGTACTCATTATTTCTCAGCAGGACATTCCAGAGAGCACTGCTGTGGAAATTTTCCAAGAATCCCTCTGGATCCTTCCAATGTGAGGGGCTTTTTCAGTCCTGCCCTCCAGGGAGAATGATTCACTCGCATTGTCCAGCAGGGAAGTCTGTGTGTGCTTAAATCTTCAGGAACAGTTTGTACGACCCCGATGGGAGCAGCATTCGTACCTGTCTTATCTGTTTGAATTGTTCCTGGTTGACGTTGGAGAAAATGTTGTATTCTGGCTGGGAAATGATCTGGAAAGCCACAGCACAGTGGTGGTTCTCCAGTGGGGAGATGTCATTGTAGCGCACCGCGAGCTCCGTTCGGGCGTTTATCTGGTAGCTGGTGTGGGGAGAAAAAATGAGAATTCCTGCAGACACACACCAGCTGCTCTAAACCATTCTGCTTACTTTTGTTTGCATTCTTCTCAATACTTATTTGACTGGTTGCAGTTATTTTTTTTTGATTGTTAATACTAAATCAGATTTTTAGGGAAAACAGATACTGGGTTTTTTTGTTTGTTTGTTTCTTTGTTTGTTTTTTAATTTTACCAAGTCTCTGTATCTTAAAATTACATAGAACAAACACAGAAGGAACTGTCTGGGCTTCATTGAACCCTCACTAAAGTAAAAGATTCTCACTGACCCCAGGCAGAATTGGGTTCTGCCCTTATTTAATGAATGGCTACAAATGAATTAGACTTTTTCTCTCTTTTTTACACACATACACATACACGCACACAAAAGTGTCCACGTGTCAATAAGTCCAATTTCCTCACATGTGAATGAATAGAATAATATGCACTTCACTATTTACAATTACAAAATAATGTGTAAGTTAAATCACCCTTTGCATTTTAGTGTAATTATTCCATTTCATTCAATGAAGCTATAACGATTTATGCCCTCTCTTGAAGCTCTAAAACATTTTACCTTGCTTTCTCAGGAGTGGGGGAAAGTGTTGGAATAGAAATCTGAAAAATCATTTTCCTTACAGAGCCAAGGACATCTGACAGCACCAACCCAGACCTGAGCTGACTGCATGAAGCTCTGCCTTGGCCCATGTGTGAGTGAACAGCAGGGCCTTGGGGGAAGACCATGGCCAGCTCAAGTGATGAGAAGAAAAACCCGATCTACCAAAAATGCAAGGTGATATTACCTTCCCAATAATTTTTAAGGGAAGAGAAAGCAAGAGACGGACTTACGTATTATTATAGCCTGGATGGTCCAAGTCATGGCATACTGCTGCAGTCATGAGAATCAAGATGTCAATTTGGGAAAATTTCTCCTGTAAAATATAAAACATTAATGTAGTATTAAGATTTCTACTTCTGCTGCTGTGGAAAAAAACCCCCCCTTTTTTTTTTTAGAGAAATAAAAATCTGAGCAAAATGAAGTCTTTTTCCACAGTTTTATTTCAATCAAGAAAGGGAATTCTGCCTTCCCTTCCAGTAAAAATTACTCAGATTTGCCTTTTCTGTATTAAATAACAGCAGCTCAGAGGAGACAATTTATTTGAAACTTGCTATTACTGCAGAGATCATGTAAAAGCACTGAGATATTAGTACAGTCTTTTGCAAGTCATTTAAGCATCCTGATTAGTTAAGGGAGGACTGGAAGACAGCTTGGTTGCCATTGCATTCTGCATTAAATACACTTATTAAAAGAGTGGAAAAAAATAAGTGTTTTATTCCCACAGCGTCTGAATAGGATGAGCTTCCATTAAAGAAAGGTTTTTCTTCGTCTTTTTATTACCAAGAAAATATACTTAGGCTAGTCACTTAGATAGTTAACTATAGAGAAGAAAGCATTTTTTTCAACTGAATAAAATCTGGTTTGTACAGAAATTAAATGAACACATAAACATAGGTTCTCTAGTCAATGAAAATAAATGATGCCTACAGTTCTGGATGAAGTACAGGTCTAATGTGACTCTTACATACAGCACATGCAAGGCATTATTTGCAGCAGCTCACTCAGGTGCAAGCACACACTTGGAGAAAACCCCTTGTGGGAACATTTTGTGTCACAGATGAGGACCATACCCATGTAGACTGTAATGCAGTAGGCTTTTGGATTTGATTCACAGGTGTTTTGTGGAATCAGAGAGTCAAAAGATCTTCAGTGTACAAACTGGGGATATCCAGGAGTTGAAGGCAGCTTCCCAGCAGCCTCAGAAAGCTGTGTAGCTGCCCAGGGTCTGGGATGGGGTGGCTGAGAGGGCAGCCAGAGGTGGAAATACAACACCCCTCCTCCTCTCCCCAGGGCCACAAGAAGTGCAGCTTCAGCAAAGCTCATCACTTGCTAGCAAGCTGTTGGCTGGTTTTGCAAGAAGAGTGGCCCAGATGTGGTGGTGCTCAGTGGCCAAACATGTGCCCCGTGATGGAAATGGAGCGATACGATTGAGGTGGGGAGCATACCTGGAGGCTGCAGAGTGAGATCATGCTGTACATCATCTGGGTCACACAGAAGCAGTGCCGGAAATTATGAAAGGGGTTGTTTCTGTAATTGTCATGAATACACAGCTGCAGGGAGAGGGAATGAAGCAGTCAGAGATAGGACAGCTCTTTCTTTATAAAAACATGATTACGTGTGCTTCCCAACCTCCCTGGAAGCACTGTATATCCCTACAGGAGTCCTGTGGAGTCCAGTATAATTTTCTGCTGGGATAGAGTGACAGCATCAAGACCTTCCAACACTCTCTGCCTTCCTGAGGGGAGTGAGAGACCCACTACCTTTCAAGAATTTGTCAGCAGGTAAAGCTCATAGCAACTTCTCTCTCACACCAGCTAGCAATGGGTAAACACCCCAGCACAGCTCCAAGTGCATCTCTGTCTTGAAACAGGACTCTGTGCTCTCATCCTGAATTTGTATTTCAAACTGTGGGGTGGTTAAACAATGACTTTTCGGCATATAAAGAACTCAACGTGCACCCATGTTCCTCTCTCTTGCTGAATGTGAATTGCAGCTTTAAAATCCTCAAGGCTGAAATGTATTTGTTATTTCATTTACAAATGCTTGGAGGTGGCTCTTTGGGATGTGCTGCTTGGCAAAGTGAAGATGTGAATGCACATGCTTTAGCAGACCTGTGTGGCTTTCCTATGCTAGGCAGCATGGGAGAGATTTAGCCATGTGGGCACAGGGGACTGTTGTGTGTTTTACCTTTCAACAGATCCTGGCTGTGTGTCATCGTAACAAATGCAGGCTAAAGCTTGTCTTTCTGCGTGTCCTTGCTACTGTCAGCTGGAGTAGCTGAGTGAGGCTGGCACAGCCACAGTCATGATTCCAGTGTGCTGGGTGGCCTTTAGTATCCCGTCCTGCACAAAGCAGCCAAAGGTCCACAGTGCTGCTGGACCCCTTCTGCTCAGTCTTCCACAGACTGTACCCTGGGGAGCCCTTATGCACATGCTTCAATTACTGAGTCTGAATTAATGACATGAACAGATTTTCAGCCTCCTTCTCCAAACAAATAGTGAATTTACTTCAAGAGTCCTCAAACCCCATCAGAACCAAACACTTCAACGTGAGATCTGACTTTTAGGAAGCCTCAGGGCTCTGGATGCAGTCAAGAGAACTGTGGGTTTTCAATGCTAATTCAGTATTAGAGGGCTTCATTGCAAAAGCTCTTCAGCTAATTCTGCAGCAAGGACTTTGGAAAGATTTTTGTTTTAAAATCAATATCTAGTGGCACGATATGGTTGACAGCTGGGCTCACAGGTGGTGGGCAGCATCTCACAGCCTCCAGCTGGACACCATGGCCATGCCCAGGCACTGTACAGCACTGCACAGCTCCACATCCAGCAGTGGAGCTCAGGGCATCCCAGGGGACTCCTGACTCAGAACACTGAAGGGCTGGAGTGACTGGGATGTATTAGTCATCCTTTCCTCCCCTTTCTGGGGCATTTCTGTACCCAGTGCATGTGGGAGCAAGAAAGCAAGCATATTCATGAGTTGGCTTTTTCTCAACCACTTAAGTTAAAACTGCTGCCCATATTGTGCCTGGGGATGTATCATAGTGTGAAACAGTCCTTGGGGAGTTCTTTTTAATCATCCTTCTTTCTGCAAAGCTAGTGTTTAAGAAAGGAAATGTAACCCTGTCTAATCTTTGTAGAAAATACATCATAAACTCCCCTCATTGTTCAGAATGAGTCTGTCTTAAACGCTAGTGGTAACAGATTACTGGGAGATACAAGTTAACAAGAAGCTGCCTGCAGTAATGTATGTGGGTGGCATATTGAAGTGTGTTGATGTATCACCTTGTTTCCCATGTTTTCAGTCTGTGAGGCAGGAGAAAGATATTTTCTCTTTTATCTGTACTATGATAGCCTTGACTGTATTTGGTTTCATCCTACCCCTTCTGTTCAGCTGCTTACTGAGGTCAACAACACTGAGCTCATCAGCCTTCTTCAGGGAGAGATTTCTTAGGCCTTGATCTTTTCTGTATACCTCCTTTAAAGTAATCATACCATTTTTCTAAAAAGACTTAACCAGTCCTAAGCATAAATTACAGGTATGCCTTATGCATTCTATGGCAACATGGTAACATCCATCCATTTTATTCCTTATTCCAGCCTCTGATCAGCCTAATCCCTTGTTAGCTGCAGCAGAGCACCAAGCAGTGACAGTCACTGCCCTGTGTATGTTGGTGCTCAGGTGCTTCTTGCTGTTGCTGCACTTCATGATATGGTGAATCAAGTGTTTTCTAGCCACCTTTTGAATTTGTGGAATTTCTTCTGGCCTTTCTGGGAGCCTGTAACAACTGTGTAAAACAGTTCCCTCAATTCTGTCCATACTCTTCAAGTAAAGAGATTAGTGAGATATAATTCTTTGCTAGAGGAATTGTATGAAACATTTGTATAATGAACTCCACATAACTATGTTCTTAATTATTGTTTCAATCAATTTTTCAGGTAGAAATGTAAGTTTTACTAACTATAATTCAGATCTGTTTTAAAAAATGGGTAACATTTTTGCTGTTCTACAGTTGTCTAGGAACAAAATGGCTTTTTCTGAAAATACAGATTTATTCTTCAGCTTTTTAGCAAATTCTTTCTTATGCTTTCCCTTGGACCTGGTAACTTATAGATTTTAAAATACATCAGTGTTTCTTCTTTAGACATCTTATTTGGGGTATGATCTCATCTTTATCACGCCTTGCATCTCTACAACATGCTCAACATTAAAAACAAGGCAAAGGAAGTTATTTAACCCCTCAGCAATTCCTTTTCCTTCCTGCCTTGCTCTTTGACTCCCCGTGGCTTAGCACATCTCATGATTATTGAACATATTGGGTTTTTTTTGGCCATTTCTGAAGACACTCATCTCGTCTCGTCTCCTTTTACATTAGGTACCAAGAGCATTCACCAGAAATGCACTGCTTTCAGTAGAAACCTCAGCAAACAAATGCAAAACAGTAAAAAAATGTCATCAATTACCATACAAATGCAAACATTGGCTGAAGCACTTAGATTATAAGAATTTGTATAGATTGACTGTTTTCAGTGGGATTACTCGTGTGAATCAAGAAAATTTCATTACTAAATGTTTTGTTTATTGATTTTTGAGTTTGAAAAACTGCTAAAATCAATAATTTGAAATACTTACCAACCACCTCTTTAACGTGATAGGATTGATGTTGAAGTCTTTTACCAACCCAAGATCATGGTACATATGTTCCAAACAACTCAGCATCTGCAGCCAAGAACATATAGGTTATTGACTTGGCAATTACTTTACAATATGTTACAGAGTGAATTTCATCCTCGAAAGCATTAAATGATTGCAAAGTCCTCTAGTTAAGATGAAAGAAAGATGTTCAAAGATTGTATGATTAAAGACAGTGCAAGAGGGGAGACAGAGAGGTTCTGAAAGCTTTTTGAAGCAGACATTGCTGTTGACCGCATAGGTTTTGTGCAAGGCTTTGAATCACACCAGCTCTCTATAGTAACTGTGATTCATGTGTATCATAGCAATTCCTTTTCACAGAAAAACTACTGCCATTTTCCTGACTAATCTGGGATATGTTCTAATGCTCAATGGAATCAGTGGGAGATTTTCCACTAAGTCCAAAGGCCCTAGATGTAGAGAAATGGATCAGGCCCTAGCTGTATAGAAAATGTCAGCAGAAAATAACAGAACCTTAAATAAACTTTTATTCTAGATATGTGTCAGTATCTTCTTTGTTTATGACTTTTTACGAGTTCCTAAATCCACCATCTTAACTCATGTTTCTTGACTAACAAAAGGACTCCTATTATAACACCAAAACATTGCAGAGGGTTTGTGACCACCTACTCCCACAAACTGTGACTGTGAATCCCAATAGATGAAATGCAAAGGCAGACTCCTCTTCTGAGACAACATCTGCTCTGGGGCAGGAAGGGGGGTGTAGGTAGTTTAGCACTGCCACTCCTGGTAAATCTTCCGGGTTTGAAAATATTGCAAAAGAATTCTATTGACAACTTTATGTGTCTGGGCACTTAGCAGCTGCCACTGGTCAGAAATGAACAGAGTTTATGTGTCTGCATTCCCAGTTCTGAAGACAAAATCTGCAGGGGATGAAATGTAGCCATTATATTAGCAGATGCAGTCCTTAGACTGTAGACTGATCCAGGACCTCTAATGTAACTAGTGTAATGTAAAAAATATGGCCTTGGAGATGTTTTTTTTTTAGTTAGGTTTCTGTTATTTAGGCTCTTAAAGACTCTCCAGAAAAATGATTTCATCTAACAAAACTTTATATTCATCCAGGGAATATATATAGTTCATGCAGTAACAAGGGGGCTGATTTTGAGTCATTTGAACAGGAAGAAGACAACTTTCCTGCAAGACTTCAGGGACAATGTCATGAGCTGAATTGTGCTCAGATCACAAGACCAATGTTTTGCTGTAGACCACCCTGTTTTGTTCCTAGTCCCAGAGGTAGAATATATGTTTTGCAGTAGTTTCAGAAAATACTTTCTGAGACAATAAATTTGATCCAGATTGGATGTTTTTTTTTTTTAGTTAGGTTTCTGTTATTTAGGCTCTTAAAGACTCTCCAGAAAAATGATTTCATCTAACAAAACTTTATATTCATCCAGGGAATATATATAGTTCATGCAGTAACAAGGGGGCTGATTTTGAGTCATTTGAACAGGAAGAAGACAACTTTCCTGCAAGACTTCAGGGACAATGTCATGAGCTGAATTGTGCTCAGATCACAAGACCAATGTTTTGCTGTAGACCACCCTGTTTTGTTCCTAGTCCCAGAGGTAGAATATATGTTTTGCAGTAGTTTCAGAAAATACTTTCTGAGACAATAAATTTGATCCAGACGATCTGAATCACCCTCAGAAATGTCTACTTCCTTCCAGCTGTTTCCAGAGAGCTTTGGGTGAGGGGCAGGTTGACTCTTAGTCCCAAAGTTCCTGCCTCTGAACACATGAGAATCTCAGTTTTCATTTTTAGCTTTCTTGGTCAACAGCAAAAGCTTGAATATGAGACTTTTCTAAGGCTTGAAAGGGACATTTGAGAAAGAGAATGCAAGCTTGCTGCAGAGCTCTGTTTACCTGAGATGTTGCAGAGCACATTACTAATTTGCTTACAGAAGAAGATGGTTTATAACCTGCCTGTCCCACATGGAGCACGTGGGCAAATGCTCATTGCTAAGCAAGCATTGACAGAATTGAAATATTCTCTGTAAACATGAACCAGAGTTAAAGAGTGAGAGAAACCCATATGGTGCTCAGCTGACCAGAGTTTGTGCAGAATCTTATTTCTGCTCAGCACTCCTCCTTGCAGGGCACATCTAATCCCTGCACCCTCTTGTTAGCCTTGTTCCCGCCACCACACAGTGTTCCCTAGTACTCTGAATGAGTTACTGTGCTAATACACTATGCCTCAGCACACAAGAATCCATGGATAATGTTTTTTGTCTCTCCCTATTCTTTCTTAATAGCCAGAACAACAATGAGCCAACAGTGTTATGGTCCACCTGGCAGGTCATAATTCTCTCTTGCTGTAAAGACCTGACAGGCACTCAAAAATTTGGGGGTGAGCCATTTTGCCTGAGCAGTTGCATGGCTGTGGTTCAGAGAAAAGGGGCTAGAGAGAGAGCAGTGACTGCAGAGCACCAGCCTCAGCTTGGCACAGATAGCACAAGGGAAGCTCTGCCACCCTCTGTGGATGGGAGATTGACCTTAAGCCACTAGAGAATCAATCTGTTACTTCTGTTACTCTACTGGCTGGACGAAATATCCTGAAAGAAAAATGCTGATACTGTAAGTGGGGTATGGGGTATTTTTCCTTGTCAGGTTGACCTACAGGTGCTGAGCCTGAATGACTCTTCTATGCACAACATCTGACTGAGAAGGTAATAATTAAGGTGATTGCTGCTGAGGGTTCTGCTAGAACTACCCAATCCTTCCCTTGGGAAAAATCTAATGCTAAAATCCTGCTACAGTTTTGTTTTCTCTTACATTTTTCCTAGGTGAGATTTGCTCGTATTTGTTAAATCCAGTTTTACATTATAACCTGGCCATTACAGAAAGCACCCTTCTCCATCATGTTTCTACAGATATTTACATATGGGCCTTCCAGAACCTTCTGCAATACAAGTGACAAACAATAAACACCAATAGCAATAAGAAAAATAACAATAGCAGTAAGAAAACCAAGAAAATTAACCAGTAATAAAATACTAATAGCAGCTTTGCAGGCTCTTCAGCAAACACTACAGAAAAGAACATTGCCTGGAAGGGTGTGAATCAATGCATGCACCTCTGCACACAGCAGCCTGCTGCTTTATTGATCTGCAGAATTATTGATGATGAGCTTAAGAATATGCTTTGCTAGGGATTGACTTGTTCAGATAAAATGGCATGAGAGAACTCATGTGTCAGTAATGATAGTGCACTGGTTGTTCTGGGACATTACTAGGAAGAGATCGAAATAAAAATAAAAAGGAGTCAGAATATGAAAACCAGCATAATACATCTGGCATCTGTTAGGAAAAGCACCATATTCTGGTGTCATATGAAAAAAAGGATAGAGAGTGAGGGGCAGAAAAGGGGAACAACCCTGCCAACCTTCTCAAAGGGCTCTTCTGGCCTTGTCAGCTCTCAGAAAGAATGCTAACCCAGCTAACACGGCACCCTTACCTCGTTGGGCTCCCACAGCCAGACATCAAAGGTTGGTTTCCGAAGTGCTTCAATGGTCTCCTGGGACAGCAGGTACTGCAGACAAAAAGGCAGTCAGTGTAGACAAAAGTCCCCCATCCTGGCATGGGACCCACTACTGACATGTCCTTGGGACTCCCAGACTTCCATTCACACGGGGTTCAGCCGCATTTCCCAAGGAGAACACAACTGATCTCTCCCTCTGCCTGCCCAGCCCTCCTCTCTCTCCCCTCGAGCTGCTTGTGGTCACAGCAGGACGCCCATGCCTGGTTGGCAGCAAGTCCCCAGGCAGCACACTGCTGGCAATGGCACCAGTGTGGAGTCCCTTGTGGTGCAGGAAGGTGGGGTTTGGGAGAAGGGGAGGAGAGCAGAGGTGTTACAGATGAGGTTGTGGGTAAATCCAGCATGGGGATATCAAGGGCACAGATCCATCCCTGGCTTCAGATGGAGCACTGGTTTCTGCCTGCAGAAATTCAGCAACATTCGGTGCAGTCACAGCTGAATGGTGTGAAGGTCTATGCTTACAGTGTTAAATTAGCTGGTGGGTATGATATATTTACTTTCAGATGATTTATGTTGTTATTTAAAATGCTTTTTCAAAGACACCTACATTTTCAAATTGCTTGTCAGCCTGCAAGTGTCAAGTGATTTTTTTTTTGTCATTACACTCAAGAGGCTCAAAGCAAAATCAAGCTCATCTTCCAGTTACAATTTGCATAAAAAATGAAAAAAAAACAAATGTAGAGAGTTAAAAGACCAAAGGAGATCTTGATTCTACTTTTCAAGACTTAACTGGTTCGAATTTTCTTGGAGACAAAAACCTTGTAGCTTCAATTGGCCCATTTGTAGTGGTTGTCTCTAAATTGTTTGGGCTTACTTTACTGAGTAGGTGAATGAAATATTCCTAGACATCAAATTGCTGATACTTCATCCAAGGAAGAATAACACTGAAGATTAATTTTCCTCCTTGAGAAAGCAATGATTTTTGCATTTGCATATATATTGTACATTTAATATGATGTTCTGCAAGGAAACTGCAAATTAGCAGTACATTAGATTTGCTGTTTGATAACAGTGTTGTAATGACATCTTCTGTCAGTGGGCTCATCACCTGTAACCTCACTGACATTGGACAAATCCAGTGCCTGGCAACTGATAACAAATTTTGCAAATCTGCCAAACAGAAATCAGACTTTTAAAACCAAAAGTCCTTTCTTTGAGCTTTGGTCTGAGGGTAATACAGTAATACAGACTAGCAGTTTACTCCACAGTACAACTCAGTCAGTACAACTCTTTGTAGCACTTGCTGTTCATTGAAGATCCTAATGTCATAGCAGTACATTGAAGTTTGATGTGAGATAAGCATTTATCAAGGGAAAAAATCTGGCTAGGAACAGATATATTTTGTGAAAAGGTGTGTTAAGTGTCAGGAGCACAAGCCTCTTGGGTAAAAGTTAATTAGAAGAAAAGTCTCATGATGTCTGCTTCAGAGACATATGGGTCACTTTTGCTAGGCAGAGCAGAAAAAAGCAGAAGAACGTATAATTCGTTGCTCTGTAAGGCTCCCAAGACAAATATGCAAGGATGCACATCCATATCATACACCTGCATCACATGTGACCATCTGAATTTCAGAGTGGCTGAGCCAACTTCAATGTATACAAGCAGATGCCTACTGTGAAAGTATGATTTGCACATGTGTGAACTGGTGTTGGTCCAGGTGTGAGCTGGGCACTGAGCAGACGTAATCTGTTAGCTTTAAATAATTCCTGTGGGCAAACACTTATGGTGCTAGGACCAAAAATCCTGTGTGCTTTTTGGTTTTAGCCTCATTTGTCACTGTGGATTTGTACTTGCCCAGTAGACATTTTTCTTCAAGCATTACTGTTTTCTCTAGCAAATACACTAATTCATTTTTCACGGGGACAATGAATCATTCTGGAGAGAATCCAATGTCGCATTTTCTCTCTGTTTCCCTAGGTGAAGCATCCCCATAAATTACTTTTTAAATTAAAAAATAATCCATTAGAAGAACACAGGCAGCAGCACTATTTTCAATTAGGGTACAACATTGTAGGCTATTTTTGATTGTTTTCTATGAGCATGGAGAATAAACAAATACCATTAGACAGAAGAGTGTTACATGGTGATGAATGCAAAATGTTCATTAACATTTCAAACACTAACGAGCTTTCAAATATTAAAGACTTCTGAGGATCCAACTTTAAGTCACTGCAGGCAACAACAGCTTTTTCTATTGGCTTCCAGGGATTTTGGATCAGGCCCTGGATTTAAAATAACTAGGAGGTAGATGGCCAGGGAGTCATGCACTGTAAACCAGCACTTGTCAGGATGGCAAGCACATGCTAGGGTTCCAGGAAGATCAAGGAATGAGTGGTACCTTTGGGTAAGTTGGTACATCCCGCCGGGGGGTCAGCCTCTTATTTTCATCCAAAAAGCTGTACTTGCAGGGACAGCTAGTCCTGAAAATAAATATTCAGCTCTTGATATTGTGAGAACACCACCTCAGTGCCTTAAAAAATGCCAGAAGTACTCTGGTCTCCCAGTAGGCATTGCTTGGAGAATTACCCCATTGCCCAGCCTCTCTCTTTCTAATGTGAGGTTGCTGAAACACTTAAAAGTATGATCCTCTTTAGAATTTTCTCCTCTTGTGCAACACCCCTTGTCGCCCCTTCTCCCCTGTTTTAATTCAAGCAAGGACTGTCTGTCTTCAGGCATGTATCCGTGGATACCCAACACTTCTATTTAAACAAATAACTTTCCTTTCAGCAAGCAACTTGCTGTCTGAGGACAGCAGAGCCCTGCCAGAGGCCACACTGAGTATGGACACTGGCACGTCTATGTTTGTTTACTAGTCTAGGCACCCACTGAGCCTGTGGCTTATTGCACCCCAGCTCCAGGCCTCATACAGCCTTGGGAAACACCATCCGTTTTGATGGTATGACCATCTCACCTGCTGCCCTTCAGATGGGAAAACAGCAGCCAGGCATAAGCTCGGCAGACACAGTCTGCTTGGCTCCCTGGAAAGACCTGGAGGAAGGGAGCTACTGCCAGCAATTACAGGTAATTAGCACTTGCCTGATTATTAACACCAGCACCCACTGACAGTTGTCTATTTTTCCTTCCTCTGTACATGAAAGAGCCAAGCTGATGCTATCCCACCTGAGCAGCAGGACCATGATGTTGGGAGGTGCACACCAGCCTTACAGTCTTTGCAGAACATCTAGGTTGCTGCATTGCAGTGCAAGAGCAGCTTCTTCTCTTCCAGCCATGGGGAGCACAGTAACACTGAGTGCTCTGTGGTATCACCCATGGCAATCGTGATACTTTAACTCAACACGTGTTTCCCAGGTTGTTAATCACATGGACTTTAATAACTCTCATGTGAGGCTGATCTGCTTGCATTTTGTGTTTATACCTGTAGTCCTAACATTTGGATTATCCTTGCTCATTTTTCAAGTCTCCTGCCAAATGAAGCTAAAAGAAATCTCTCAAAAGAACCTAAGCAAAGTATTCAATTAACTTTATTTGTCCCTTTAAAAATTATTTTGCATATTCTGCATTGCAACTCTTTTTAGTGCTACTCTGTTGACAATTGGCCCTGGTCTCTCTTATTTTCTCCTCATAATATTGATGTTTGCTGTAATTTCTGATGGTGGTGTTGTCTGAATCCTGTGACAGTTATGTCATCCCATAGTTCATGGTGGTCAGCTGGCTTCAGGCAGCTGCCTTTTCCTGCCCTGTTTAAGGAGATTTTCAGTTGATGAAAAGCTGTCTTAATATTTTCTAAAGCTGTTTCCTCAAAACTCCATAGTGAGGGGTATTAGTAGGATAAAAATAGAGATTGGGGCATTCCTTGCCCTAATAGGAGCTGCCTGTCAGGGTTAGCTGAGGGTCAGCCAACTATCCTTAATTTCCATCTGTAGTAAGATCTTGAAGCCTTCATCCTACCACACTGGGGAACACACCAGAGCCAGGATGCATCAGACCTTTACCAATGTAAAGCTGTATCTGCAAATGATAATGATTTTAAATTACACTATCATGTTATTCTCATCTGTCTCTGGTGAACACAAAAAGCAGAGCAGCAAAAACAAAGAAATCTGGGAGGATGCAAGTGAGGTTGCTTTGCTTTTCTGAAGAGGAGAGATGCAAAATTCACTGTGCACAATGACTTTCATAAACCTAGGTGTTCATTCTTACTCAGTCGTTTGGCAATGCAACAGCAAATGTAAGAATATACCAGAATACAGCTCTGTATGCTGTGGTGCTATTGAAGGAATGTATCCACTCACACATATTTATATTCATGAATTAAATTTAGATGTGATCTCTAATAGCAACTGTAACACATTATCCAACAAATGATATTGCACAAGGGATGACAAGTCTAAATAGAAGCAAAACCACTTCCACTTGCCCTGGGATGCCTCTCTCTCCCCCAACAGCATGAAGTATTTCATCTCAATGGGAGAGAGCCTGATCAGCCGCTTGGGGTGAAGCACCCCAGGGCAGGGATCACTGCAGGCCAGTGACATGGCTCTGCAGAGCAGTGGTCACTTGGGATAGGGCAACACAGGTCACTCCTTAGCAGCTCCTGATGATGCCAGCCACCAAGGAGCATCCTCTCTTCACTCTTACAAAAAAAAGAGGTGACTTCAGCCACCTCTGCTTACATGCTGACCTTGGCCACGTCTGGCTGGTGCTTTGAGACCCAAGCTCTTAGGGTACAGATAATTATGAGAAGAATTTTGTGCAGCCAGGAGGAGGAAGACCCAGCTCAGGGCAACCAAGGAGAGCTGTGACACGCAGCACACACCTGCCACATCCATCTGGCACAAATTAACGCTGAGCACAGCAAGTTAGGCTCCTGCTTCAGTGAAAGCAGTTCAGAGAAACTAGTGTGTGTGTCTGTGTCCAGCTCTACTTGTTGCTGAACACTACACCTGGTTTTTACCATAGCTTTCCATCATCATGCTCCACGCTGATCTCTGGCTTTTGGTGGCTGTTGTATCTCACCACAAGCCTTTGGTGAAGACTGCAGCTCAGCTGGACCTGGCTGCACTGGGCAGATGTAGCACTCCCCATTCCTGTTTTTCTTCTTAACTGACTGCTGTTTATATTACAAAATATAGATTGTAAGGTGACAAGGTCTGGGAGAGGAATGAGTCATGGCTGCTGCTGGGACAGCCTCATACAGCAACTGGGCGTACCTGAAGTTGCTGTAACTTCTTTTCTTGATTTTAATTCCCTATCTGCCCGTGAGTCACTATGATCATAATAGCAGCTCTTCCAGCTTCCTACAACAGTTGAGGAAAAGTACAGACACATACTCGGGCACACACGTTTAACATCACACCCAGCACAAATCAGCATAAACGATTTTGCCTTTGCTTCCAGCCTGAGCTCTGATTTTTCTAATGAGATTTCCTCCTACGCCTGTAGAAGAAATGATGCAGGTCACAGGGCAAACTGCAATCCATCCTACTGGTGTAAATCTGGAGCAGACCTGAGGTTAATTGTGTTGCTCTGCATTTATGCTAGCATGACAGCTGAATTTGGCCTTAGACTTAATAGGAATGTATTAACACTGTGCCTCTTGACATACCTGGATGGCAAAATTTATAAAAGCGAGATATTATAAACCCTAATTATTTTAGCAAATGTCCCATCGCCCTCAATAGGAAATAGCTTTGATTAAAGGTCAGAGAATTTGACCCCAAATGAGGAAAAAGAGAGAGCCTGTTAATATGGAATTGTTGTATTTGCTGAGAAAAATCCCTTTCACCCACACTTGGAACAACATAGTCTGTCCTCTTCAGCAGCCTTCCCAGAAGTAACCATAATCTCACAGCGATTGTTTTTCCTAATGGGGTATTTCAGTGACACAGGGGGCAGACTCTCCATCTGAGACTGTACCATACAGAATGCAAGTTTTTCTGCTGCTGTTTTAATTACAGCAAAACCAAGCTTCACAGTCACAATGAGCCCTTGAATAAGAAAGTAAGTTCCCAATTTCACATTGAATTTGATGTTTTATATTAGCACGAGATCACAGTTAGAAGAGCTGCTACATATTTATTTGATATTTTCACAGAATATATTTGAGCTGACCTGAGTATTAGCATTTGGTTCCCAACCAAATGCCACATTATGCAGCTCTTTTCCCATTCCCTTTCTCCCAGTAAATCTGGATGAAGAATTCCCATTCTGTATGGTGAAAAATAACTCTCTGTTGCAAGACCTTTTTCTCAATTCCCGTGGCCTGTGCTATTTTAACTGATGAATGGCTGTAGTTCTTCCAGTGTTGAACTAAAGCCACTCTCCTCAGTGGTTATCCATTTCCTTGCTCCTTTACTTCAAAGCCCAATAGGTAACTCAATTCTGCAGAAACCAGATGCTAATTTCTTTGCTTAGGTCCGAAGCAGAACTTACCTGCTGCTTCTTGCTGCCATTTCCTCCCTCATCTTTTTAATGTCGCTCTTGCATTTCTCAATCTCCACTACTTTCAGGCCTTCCACTGTCAACAAAGGAAAACAACAGGGGTGTTACCATGGCGAAAGTCGAAGGATCCTGTTTCACAATTGTGCGAAATTTCAAAGGGCTTTAACAGTTGGGTTTTCCAGCGAGCCAGTGAGATCTCCCAGTCCCCCCCAGTTCTGCCATGTGCAGGTGCTGCCAAAGCGATGTATCTTGCAAACCCAGAGGAATTATCTGCTGCCAGTTTTAGATAATAGCTACAGTATTTTAATTCACAGAACGGCTATAACGTCTCAGCTTTTCCACAATTGTTAGCAGCAGTCAGCTGTGCCGGTGCCTTCGTTTCTCTGCTGTAGAACACGAAATCAAAGGAAATCCTGAGCAAAAATAAAAAAAAAGACCCTCCCACAATGGGGTGATAAGCGCAGCGAGGCAAACACGTCGCAGTAGGATTACAATTCCCATTAAGATAAAAGGTTTTAATTTGAAAGTTCATGCAGAGCATAGAGGAGCTCTGAGAGGAATTGCTAGAGACAGAGTAACCAACGTGAGAATGCAGGAGAGAGAGAAACGTTGAGAAGTTTTGCTCTAATGATTGATTTTTTTAAAATATTTTTTATATATATATTTGTTCTTTTTAGATATTGAAGACCTGTCACTTCTTTTTGCCAATCAATATCGTAATCAAAGGTTATTTCTGCATGGTGCACCAAAAAATCCTATATTCCCCTTCTGCATGTAATTATGAGCCGCAAGGCAAAAAGTTTGATTACCTGTTTATGCAGCAATGCACTTCATTCCATGTAGCCATGAGAACCTAAGGCAGTGCAAGTATGAGAATATTCTCCCTTTTCTTTCCCTCTCATTGAACTATCAGCATGCTCAAGGACATAATATAGCACCATTTATTACGTACATGTCATTCCATGCAATCATTTCACAGCTCATTTGTTTACTGAACTCATTGTTAGCATGGACAAGCTGTGGTTCAGGGAACCTGAGGGAATGTGCAATTGTACAATCAGCATTCAGTCACTTTCTTAGAAAATAATAATCCAAATCACACTTATCTGGAGGGTAGCATGTAAGTGATTAAAAATTGCCTTGGAAGGGCACAACTCTTTAGATAAGCAGAGACCTCAGTTTTGTTTCCTTTATGCTAGTAACAACAAAGATTGCTGTTGTAACGAGGAAAGGGAAAAAGCAGAGAGGAATATGACCCAAATCCAGAATGCTATATATTAGGAGAGAAAAAGGAAAAGTTTTCGATTTAAGCTTGGTTACAGGGACACCCTCCACTTAAAAATCCCGTTTCCAGACTTTTTTTTGGTCTAGTATTGTTACTAGCAGCTTATTGCTAGTTAAAAGCAATTTGTTTAGGTGATCACAGTATGATGATACAGGCAACATGCTGTCCTGCTTATTCAATATCTTCATTCTGGATATCTGGCTGAGCTTTTTCAGATATGTGTTCAACTGCTCCTGATCAGCTGCAGCTGACCTGCAGTCCTGGTGCTGCTGTGCACCTCCCTGGCGCACTCATCTGGGAAAGGTTTGTGGATATTGGAAGCAGTGGGAGAAAAGCAGAGGTATCAGACCAACAGGGTAACAAGGCAGGCAACTTCAGGGAGGAGTTATGGTGCAAAGTGGCAGCCCTGAGCATTTTTTTGTATTGCCTCTCTCTAGTTTTCTTCCAACACCACTCCAGGGGAGCAGAGGATGTACATAATTATATTCTTGAGGTAGATGTCTCATGCTTACAAACTGTAAAGGGCCTTTGCCAGCTTCCTTATTCCTGTGTGGGCTGCTGTGTGAACACTGGAGCAGAGAAAGTCAAGCCATGGGACAAAGCATTCCCGCTGCTTGCCCTGCATGGACACATTTTCCAAGGGGAAGTCACAAGCTTTAGATGGGACTTAAAAATCAGTTAAAAGATTTGGCTCTTTGAAAACATATCTCCGTGATGCAGTCTCTAGAGAGTAATGGGAAGGAAGCTGAGAATTTTTTATGTGAGGTGCAGATGTAGTGCTGTCATGAGCACTTATCCCCACACACACATCCCCTCTGGGTAAGAAATCCTGGAGATTGCATGTGAAAGCGGTGGAAAAGGGATCTCCAAAGAAGGTAGGAGAAAAGGTAAAATAAAAGTACAATTCTTTTCTCATTTGGCTTGCAAAAGATAAATGGCCTTGTCATAAAGTGATTCAGAGTCCATTATATTATTCTGCAGCAAGAAATATCTTCTGAAAAGACCCTGTGCTGTCTAAAGAAGTCCTTGGGCTGAATCCAACACTGAAACTCAGCTCTTAAAGCAGCCTCTGGGAGCCCAGCTCAAGTATGGAGGCTGGACACTCCCCTTCTCTCTGTTTCACTTTTTAAACATGAAAACCTGGAATCATTTAAAAATGCTGCAGATTTGGCTCTGTTGCAAATTCTGGAAGTCCAATTTGGAGCAGATAGGTGAACTTGTAGTCAGGCAATCCAGGGAGCTCCTTCCCACAGGCTGAGGCTGCTGGAGACGGGATGGAGAGCGCCCAGGCAGGATGGCAGCAGGTTGCTACATCCGCTGCTTTTTCCATCAGCAGTGAGACCCACTTACAGATGGAAGCCTTGTCTGGGCTCCAGCACATTCAGTTCACCTCCAAGACACAGCAGCTCTGGGTGGGCTTGTTCCCTA